AAAAAAAAAGAAAATATCCAGTGAGAGGCAGTTCTGTGGGCGCATATGGCTTGTTGATGCCAGAGGAGAATGGCCAGACTAAACTCAAATAACCATTTGTTACAACCAAGGTATGCAGAAGAGCATCTCTGAACACACAACACGGCCAACCTTGAGGCAGATGGGCTACAGCAGCAGAAGACCACACCGGGTGCCACTCCTGTCAGCTAAGAACAGAAAACTAAGATTACAAATCGCAAAGGCTTACTAAAATCTGACAAAAGAAGATTGGAAAATGTTGCCTGGTCTGATGAGTCTCTATTTCTGCTGCGACGTTTGGATGGTAGGGTCAGAATTTGACATCAACACCATGAAAGCATGGATTCATCCTGCCTTGTGTCAATGGTTCAGGCTACAGTGTACACATCTTCTGATGACTACTTGCAGGATAACACACTATGTCAAAGCGTGAATCATCTCAGACTGGTTTCTTCAACGTAATATTGAGTTCACTGTTCTCAAATGGCCTCCAAAGTCACCAGATCTCAATCCAATAGAGCACCTTTGGGATGTATTGGAAAGTGAGATTAACATCATGGATGTTCAGCCTACTAATCTGCAGCAACTGTGTGATGCTATCATGTCCATATGGACCAAAATCTCTGAGGAATATTTCCAGTACCTTGTTAAATTTATGCCACGAAGGATTAAGTCAATTCTGAACGCAAAAGTGTACCCGGTACCAGGAAGGTTTACCTTATAAAGTAGCCAGTGAGTGTATAATGTCCGCCCTTGTCACGGTTGCAGGTTTGTGCGCTCTTCCGGAGTGTCTGTTTGATCATGTGGGTTTGTTTTGTTTTTGTGGCCCACGTGTATTTGTTTTGGTCGCATGTCATGACGGCACTCCATGTTAAGGTCAGCTCGTTTTGTCACACGTAAATAATGTTCTGGTGAATCCAAGTGCGAGTGATCTAATTAATTATTTTTTTAACACAGTCAAATCAAAAGCAAGGAATGAGTGCGGTGCTAGAACTAGGAGAAACAGGGCAGGAATCAGGCAGGAAACAGGGTAAAAACTCCTTAGGTCCTGAGCACAGACAAGATAGCACCATAAGCACACGTAACGAACTGACAATGAAACACTAAACACATAGCACATATATAGGCACGATAATGAGTATCAGCTGGCGAACAATCAATCCAGCTGAGTGCCGTCATGACACGTGACCAAAACAAATACACGTGGGCCACAGAAACAAAACAAACCCACATGATCAAACAGACACTCCGGAAGAGCGCACAAACCTGCAACCGTGACAGCCCTATACACAACTACTTAGCTTTTCTGATTTTGATTTTCGTGCAATGATTTGCACCTTTTGGCAAGCTGCTTTAAAACGATAATAATTGTGAATATGTGTATACAAATAAATTTGAATTGAACTGAATGAAATACATTATGGACTAGCACTTAGATAAGCACATAATGAAGACCATAGCCTACTACCATGCAATATTTCAGGCCATTTAGTGTCTTTTAAGAGACTAATCTTTGAAACTTTTACATATTACATTTACAAACCCGCACCAATACACTCAACATAAAAGATAATATCCCCCCAAAAAAGCAGGGTCACTTTGAATGAATAGTTCAGCCAAAAATGACACATTAATTATCATTTACTCACCCCCCGGTCGCACAAAACCCCTCTTAAACCATAAATTATTTAACAGGCCAAAAAGAAGCATAAAAATAGTCACACTATTTCCCCATTCTTCTGATCTCATTCGGTAGCTCTGAATGAGAACAGATGGAAATAAGATGTAATTCACTAATAATTCCCCTCTCCACCAGAGCTCATAAATGTTACGGTCTACTGCAGTCGTAACAAGCAGTTTTATAATATTAGCTTTGCTGTTTGGGGTAATGCATTGTGTAGCTGTTTTTGCAATGGTCTCCGACTTATTATTAATTACTGTTTTGAAAGAAATCAGAGCTTTCTTTCTTAAACCGAAACAGAATTGCGTGGTACAGCCTTCATCCCTCTGAGGAGTTTCAAGAAAAACATCATATTTGAAACCCAAATGTGTGTTGAAAGTACTGTGATTTAAGAGATGCAAGTTTACTCAATACTTCAGCGGCTGAAATATGAGTTTGTACTGCTTTTTCCACATGACATTAAAGTGAACAACCTTTATATGCTGTGCTAATGATTTAGAAAAAGCGTTCTGGAGCACCAGATGAGCACATTTGAATGATTTTCTAGAGATCAACAACACAATTTTTTTTTGCAATGTGATTTTTATAGTAGAGAGGAAAGACGCTTACTAAAATACATAAAATACAGTGTCAATATCACAGGTTACACAGAGATATATGTAATGGATTAAGCCTGAGAATAGTATAATAAAATATATTACTTTTTTAATATAAAAAAATGTAAAAAAATATATATAAAAACATTTTTTAAATATATTTTAGAAAATATAAAACACATTTTTGCTGTTAATAATTTACAAATATAAATTAATAAAACACAAATAAAAATAATAGATTTAATAAAGACATTTTATATTTTAAGTAATATACAATATATTTGATATATTTCTATATAAATGAAGTTAAATTTAATTCATGTTTTTAAAGTTAAATATTAATATTAATAATAATAAATAAGATTTCAAATAAAAATTTTATATAAAATCTTTTGCTGCTACTCTTTTTTTAAAACATACATACACACGCGCACACACACACACACACACACACACACACACACACACACACACACACACACACACACACACACACACACACACACACACACACACACACACACACACACACACACACACAACTAAATAACCTAAATAAATCAGTAAATTTATATATTTATTATTGCTATTTACATTAAATAACATAAATCATTTTAAATATAATATTTAAATATACAAAAAATGTTTATATTTACACATACAGTATACAATAATCCAGGGGCGTAGCAGACATTTTATAAGTGTGGTAGACAGCTGAATGAGATCCAAAATTTTATATATTTATATAATTATTAATCACCTGTTTCTAAATGGTCTGGGTCTAAAACATTTTATATATTTAAATATATTGATTTTTTTCTAATATATGCACAGAGTATACAATAATCAATCAGTATGCTTAGTTTTATTTTAAAAAATGTATTAGAAGTACTATTTCACATTCAAGTAATATATAAAACACATATTTGCTGCTAATAATATAAATAAACTGAATATATATTAATAAAAAGACAAATTCACATTTACGTATAAGGCATTATTAAAAATTTTCATTATTCAATTGACTGTATAATGCGTTTAATAAAGAAAGTTTCAATAAAATGAAATATATTATAGTTTACAAATTATATTAATTATATAAGTATATCAGTAAATTATTGATATATAATATCTGAGGAGATACTGTAGGTTAAAATACACAAAATATCCGCAAAAAACACACTGAAAGCTTACATACGCTATTTATAAACTAGATTTAATTAAAATAAATACATAAATGACTAAAGGATGCATTACACAATCTAACCAAAAAGTTAACCCCCTCTGATCATCGTTGTATAATTTGCACACTGCATGTCGCCAAATAGATTTAAATATAATATTTAAATAATATTGTCAATTTTAAAAACACATTATGAAGTAGTATGCTTTGTTTTATTATAAAAAACTTAATTGAAAGTACATTTTGACATTAAAAGCTTTGCTGCAAAAATTAAGAAATTATGAATATAAATATAAAAAAACTTTACGTATAAAAAAATTACATAGTTTTACGGGAAAATATAATATTACATATACTGGTACAAACATCAGAGTAAAAGATATTTATTTCAGGTCAACTAATATAATAATCTATAAATCTATTTGAAAACATATGGAGATATAAATAATGGATTTAATAAAGACATTAAGAAATTATATTTCACAAATGAGTAAACAAAATATACCAGTGCATTAAATAATTATTATATTATTAATTTAAAACTAAAAAAAATTTTTGTAAATTAAAAATGTATGTATTTCTAGACAAACTAAGCAACTTTAAATTAATGTTTTATTTCTAAATATTCTTAATAATAATATTAATATTAATAATAATATCTATTATTTAAAATCAAATTAACATAAAATTTTCTGCTGCTATATATATAAAAAGCAAAAATATTCACATCATATATTTTATACACTCTAAAAAAAAATTCCGTAAAAAAACGGTAAAATGTACTGGCAGCTCATTACACAAATATTTTACCGTAAATTAAAAACGGAAAACTTCTGTTAATTAACAGTGTGTCAACATTAAAAAAACTAAAAAATATCCGTTTTTTGACATTTAAAATACTGTAAAATAACCAACCATTTTATAGTAATTTAAGGGTTTTCTATATAAAAAAAACGGTTATTTTCTGTGTTTTTAAGGGTATACCAACAGTAAAAAAGCGGAAATATTCTGTGTTTTAATAGTATACCTTCTGTAAAAAAACAGACAGATTCTGTGTTTTAATAGTATACCTACTGTAAAAAAACAGACAGATTCTGTGTTTTAATAGTATACCTACTGTAAAAAAACAGACAGATTCTGTGTTTTAATAGTATACCTACTGTAAAAAAAACAGACAGATTCTGTATTTTAATAGTATACCTACTGTAAAAAGAGGAGTTTTTTTGGGTTTTAATAGTATACCTACAGTGAAAAAATTAACAGATTCTTTGTTTTAATGGGATACCTACTGTAAAAAATAATTATTTTACTAATTTAATGCTCTTCAAGCAGCATAGAAATGGCAATTGGTAAGGACAAACATATACATATGGGAAATACACTATTAATGGTTTATAATAGTAAAACAAAACATTTATTCTATACTGTATGTGTAGAGAAGCAGTAAATAGTTTGTTATCTGTGAACTTGCAATGATTAGTACAAAAACAACTTTGCAATTAAAACAGATTCTTTAATGAATGCAAATCATTTGAATTCCAAATAGCTAGTTATACACACAATAATACATATTGACATGTGAATCGCACCGTGAGAAGTCTTGGCAAATAATCTCATAGCAAATTAGTTTTAAATGTTAGCTTTAAGATAATTGAGGACAAGTGGGCAAATTACAAGTACTTTACATTAAGAAACCAGGTTAACTGCAAGATGGCAGGAAACAGACGATACAACTGGGTCTTCTTCCTCTCCAATACTGATACTTCAATGGCTGTAAAACAAACAAACAAAAAAAAATATTACTAATGACTTTTCACTTACAACTGGGGTGATTCCTTGCATGTCAATAGTTCTGTTAATCATTGCCTCTACATTAATAGATGTTAGTAGTCGGTTTTAAATACAGCTACAAATGCTGTAATCTTGACTTAAGCACATTTATAATGTGCTTAATAATTGTGTTAACAAACTTTAATGATTGATTTTACATGACTATTTTTATAATAAAAAAAAATATATATATATATATATATTATATTGCATTATTTACAAAACTTCTCCCAGTTTGGTGGCCTAATCTAAAGTGAGGATTATTTATGATTTATAAATCCTTATAAACGACAGTTAAAGGCTCAGTATTAAATTAACAATAAATCATTACAGTCTTATCTAAAAAATTTAATTACTGTAAATATGAAACGTTGCTGAATAGCAGGAGTGCCAAAACATAAGATAAAACTGGATAAAACAACAATAAAATAATTTAATGATACATTACGATGCAACATTTCAGTGTTATTTAGCTAGGTTTAAACTGTACAGTAATTTTATTTTAGATAAGACTTATTTTTCATTTAATACAATAAAATGAATTTCATTCTTAGAATATAACTGAACCTTTAATTGTGATTTATAAGGGGATTTACAAAGCATAAACAATCCTCACTTTAGGCTACAAAACTGGATGAAGTTAACAAAAGCACTTATTAAAATAAGTATTGTTTATACTTTATATACTTATTTTTTTATACTTTATATACAAGTATAACTATTACTATTCATTCATGCATTTTCCTTCAGCTTAGTGTGTACTCGCACTATGTACAGTTGCCTTGAACCAGGCCGAAGCACGCTTGTCCTCCCTACCGTCTCCCCTGACGTCCCGCACTCACATTGCATTCGAGCCTGAGCACTCTTACATCATCGATGATGCCCCGTTTAGTTTAAGAAGTGCTCTCTCTCAGCACAGTGGAGAATTCTTAAATTATTTTGTTTTAGTCGTTTGGGATGCAGTAACACGCAGTCAAATATTTTGCCGAACAGATCAGCCACTTTTGATGTTCATAAATTCCTTGTGCTGCAGGAATAGGAGGTTTGCTAAAGGGCGCAGCTGTGGTGCAGTAAAGGGTTTGCGTATTTAATAATTAACGACAGTTTGCGTTCATTGAACAGTAATAGTGGTTAATTTATCCAAATCAAACCGTCCCTTGCAAACTGTCACAAAAGACACAAACCCCTCACTGCACAACAGCTGCACCTTTAGCAAACCTCCTAGTACCTGCAGCACGATGACTTTGATTGTTTATGAGCGTCAAAAGTAGCTGATCTGTTCGGCGAAATATTTGACTGCGTGTCACTGCATTTTAAACAACTAAAACGATATAACAATATAAAGAAATCTCCACTGTGCTGAGTGAGAGCACTTGTTAAACTGAACAGCACATTATCGATGACGTAAGCGTCGGGGAGACAAGCACGCTTCCAGTTTCAAGGTAACTCTGCATAGCATGAGTACGCCCTTGGAAACACCCATACACACTTATTTACAAACACACTCATACACTACAGCCAATTTAGTTAATCAATTTCCCTATAGCGCATGTCTTTGGACTGTCGGGAAAACCTGAGCACCCGGAGGAAACCCTCGGCAACACAGGGAAAACATGCAAACTCCATACAGAATTACCAACTGAGACTTGAACCAGAGACCTTCTTGCTGTGAGGCGACAGTGCTAGCCACTGTGCTGCCCAACTATTACTATATGCCTGAATAATAAGATATTTAAATGTTAGTTTGAATAGTTTATTAACCATTTACTTAAACATTCTGAATGATTAGAAAAAAAATACACCATTAGAAAAAAAAATACACTATTCTTAAATCACTGGTTTGTAAATAATGCGATACTAAATTTAGAATGAAAAATTGATCATTAACAAAATATGAAAACAAAATAATTAAGCACATTATAGATGTGCTTATAAGTCAAAATTACAGCATTTGCAGCTGTAGTTATAAACTGTATACTAAGGTCTATTAATGTAGATGTCAAAGCTTAACAGAACTTTTTGCTAATGCTTAATAAATTAATCAATAGTGTTTATTTATTATAAAGTATTACTGGTGTGCTTAATTACCTTTAAATCTTCCAAGGATTCTGAAAGTCTTTCTGGTCTGACAGGAATCGAAGGAGTTTAGATGGTATGTTTCTGCTTGGTGCCCTTTTTTCTGCTTTGGACCTACTTTCTGGATAGTTACTCAGCATGCTCCTGTTGTAAATACAACAAACATGTATCAACTTACTTGTCTTGTAAAAATGAAATAAACTTAAAAATGTAAAAACATACCTTCATATAAACTCCAGAGTCAGGGCTGCTTCCTTAGGCTACATAATGTTTAGCACATAAGAGACTAAACATGTAGCTGACCACAATTAGGGGACAGCCCAATGATCTTGTTATTGTGGTTGTGGACTCTTCTTCTGAAAAAAAGAAAAGAAAAGTGAGTTGTGAGTTGGGTCTGGTACACACCTACATGGAAAGAACCTATATAAACATATGGTTTAATATAGGTTTTTGATATATGTGACACATATAAAATTGGCTGTTTTCCTATATTATATGTACATATATGGGTACATATATGCACACCTATATGTTAAATTATTAATATTATTAATAATATTATAAATAATATAATTATTATGTAAAATTATTCAAATACATGTCTGCTACATAATTTAAAAGAAATTTTTAAAAAATTATTTACTTAATCAAATATTACAAGAAATAAATATAGTGCAGAAACAAAAATAAGGCAAAAAACAACAATAAAGGAAAGAAAACAAAATAAAAAGAACAACAAACCATTTTGTTATACTTTTTCTTCTTTTCCACTATCTTTATGCAAGAAAGAATTGACCTTGCAAATGTTTCAGGAAAACGTGTAGACATCATAGCTTTCCATCTCCTCTCACTTATTTGCCATAGTTAAATTCCATAACATGCCAATTACATGTGATACCAAATTCAAGTGGCACATTCATAAGTTTTTTGCATTTTTAAAAATGAGTTCTTTTCCAGATAGCAGACCTAAGTTAAATTAACATTGAAATGTTAAAACATCAATCAAACTATCATTGAAACAATGTTAAAAGTCATCACTGATTTTTAGGCAGTTTTCCACCCTGAAATAATGTTAATTCTATGATGATAAATAGACAAAACTGTCCCAAAACCAGCATTTATTCAACCAAAATTAAATCATTTTTTACAATGAACCCAACATTAAATAAAATGTTAAATCAACCACACTATCATACAATTAATGTTAAAATTTAAAGTAGATTTTTAGCCAGTTTTGCATCCTGAAAAAGTTTTATTACAATCACGATAAATAGATTAAACAGTCACAAAATCAGCATGAAGGCCTGGCTCACCATCAAGATGCCTACATTGATAATGTCTTTCTCATCATCAGGTGGCTAAGAGAGAAAATAAAAAAGATTCAGCAGTGGACCAGTTATTTCCTTATCATTTTAAACAGACATAACCAAAATAAAGAACTTGTAACATTTTAAATGTTGTAAAAATAAATAATAATAATAAATAACTGCTTTGTTCATTTAACAGATTACAGTTGCAGCTTAAAAACCCCCAGATAAAACACCCACATCAACCCAGTACTTTTAGTTTGAATACATGTTAACAAAATTTCAAAATTACTGAAGCAAAATGTGTTCATGTAAACACTTAGTAAAAATATAGGTACAGGTAATTGGTTTTGCCAAATAATAAAAATAAAAGCACTAATATCAAACAAAAACCCTGAACATTTTACCTCTTAAACTTTGCAGTTTACTGTCATCCCCTGTATGAAGTACAGATGGTCCAGCACAACTGCCTGAGTTCTGAAAGAGCAAACACATATTTTTTTGTATTATTTATAAAAATGCAGTACTGACCAGTCAGCATCAATTTCTACACCAACACACCTACAAAAAAAATAACACTCATTCAGTTTGAAACATGCAACATGTAGTCTACTGTTATACTTTACAAACTTTGTGAATAATAAAAAAATGAAAAAATTTAAAACCCCAGGTGTATTTTATTTAATTTGTCTATATCAATTGAAATTTAGTGGATTGAACGTAAGATTTAAGATTTTTATTTAGATTGCTGTGAAAATGTACCTGTACCTTGTACTTATAACCAAAATGACAGAACCTGGAAGTGAACAAAGCAAAATATCAGTGAACCTTATATATACACAAAACACTCAAAATCAAACAGAAAAAACGCTGAACATTTTACCTCTTAAACTTCAAAGTTTACCGTCATCTCCTGTATAAGGTACAGAAGGTCCAGCACAACTGCCTGAGTTCTGAAAGAGCAAACACATTCTTGGTAAAATTACAATAGATGCAATGCTAAATATAAATCATTGTTTATTTTTTTGGTTAAAAAATGCAGTACTGACCAGTCAGCATCAATTTTTACACCAACACACCTACAACAAAAATAACACTCATTCAGTTTGAAACATGCAGCATATAGTCTACTTTTAAATTTTACAAACTTTGAAAATAAAAATATGAAAACATTTAAAATCCCAGGTGTATTTTATTTAATCTGTCCATATTAATTCAAATTCAGTTTGGATTGAATTTAAGATTTTAATTTAGATTGCTGTGAAAATGTACATGTACCTTGTACTTATAACCAAAATAACAGCATAAACATACAGCAAATCTTATATCCTATATCAGTGAACCTTATATCTACAAAACACTCAAAATCAAACAGAAAAACCCTGAACATTTTACCTCTTAAACTTGAAAGTTTACTGTCATCTCCTGTATAAAGTACAGAAGGTCCAGCACAACTGCCTGAGTTCTGAAAGAGCAAACACATTCTTGGTAAAATGACAATAGATGCAACGCTAAATATAAATCATTATTTTTATGGTTAAAAATGCAGTACTAACCAGTCAGCATCAATTTTTACACCAACACACCTACAACAAAAATAACACATTCAGTTTGAGACAGTATACATTTAAACTTCACAAACGTCGTGAATAATAAAAAAATGAAAACATTTAAAATCCCATGTGTATTTTATTTCATTTGTCCATATCAATTCAAATTCAGTTTGGATTGAATCTAAGAACTTACCTGTACCATGTACTTATAACCAAAATGAAAGAACCTGGAAGTCAACAAAGCAAAATATCAGTGAACATTATATGTGCAAAACACTCAGACTCAAAATCTACATAAAAAGATTTCACTTGTGATAACACCATGTGTAGTTGACTCTATTATCAAGGCTTCATTAAAATAAAACTCCTGATCTCCTAATAGTAATGAAATTATTATTTGCTATAATGATTCTAACTGACAGTTAGTCTGAAGAATTTTAAGACTGTGGAAGAACAGCTCATCTTTATATGTTCATAATAGCAGCTGTTGAGGTTCTTAAAAGTGAACTTGGCTAAATCTGCAAGTTGACAAGACGTTCATAAGTATAATATCCATGACAGTTCAACTCGACTACAACAAACATTTAATTGTGTGCTTTAAGGTACACGTTGTATTTGAGGCCTAAAACGCATGACAGTGTAAACACTATATAAAATTTTAAATGTCACACACTTGCTGTATCACTCTGTTATCTCTGTACACACAAACACACGTCGCGAAATGCGGAAGCTTTTTTTTCGTTCCATTTGCAAGTTAAACTGCAGTTAAAGTCAGGCATCCTGCTGATTTGATTCAGAGGGGCACTTGTTTGTCAGACGGCTCACCGGTCAGGTATACATCCGCGCTAAACTACCAAAGTATGAAAGTCACCCAGCTTCAAACCCAACGTTGAGAATAGATTAACGGCGATATATTTTTTTTATCGCGCGATAAAAGTCTCGCGTTAACGCAGCACGTTAATGCTGATAAGGGCCCACCAATAATAATAACTTTATGAGTGTGTATTTCCCCTCATACCGAGTTACACAATGCCTCAAATTCACGCGGGTCTAACTTATACTTAAAAACCAGCAAAGCTGTTCCACTGAATCTCGGTCACACAGCCTTAATACGTCGGTCAAACCAAAGCTAACATTTGATAACGTCAGTAAAAATATGAAATTAGTTATTAATATACAAACAAACACAGACGGTCAGGTGTTACGAGCGTTTGAAACACGTTAACGTTAGGGTTCATTAAAGGTAACGTTAACCAGTCATCGATATACACCTTCAGCACTATATATCAACCAAACTACACAGTGTCACAAACTTTGAATGCTATCCCTTGTTCAATGCACTGTACAAAGAAAACATTTATATTTCTATTAAATAATTAACATACCTTTCACACTCTCACAGACAAGCTGACGTTTTACCGTTAATCCAGTCAGACTCACGCAGGTGCAGAGGGAGTGGGTGATTGGGACGTCACATCACTTCCCGCGCACGGCAGTTTAGAAAAATATGGACAAACAACTGTAAATGAACAGATATCATATTTACTGATGAGGAAAACGCATAAAAAGGTAAAAATTCATTAGATAAATGCTTGTTTAAATTACATTTAACCACTCATAGCTCAGTTTGATCTTAATGATATAAAGTCTGATCTTATTAACAATATTAAACGTAATTCACTGCTGTACTTTCCATGGCCGCTTCAGACAAGACAAAAATAATTTTAAATAACGATACAAATGTAATAAAGCAGTATTTTAACTAAAATATTGTTATATGTTTTATTAATCGTACTTACCAGGGAAAAAACAGAGGAAGAAATATGGCCCGGTGTCCATCAAACGCTGCCTGAGCTGCGATCCCCTTCCCATAATGCAATTCGAAAATGTATATAAACGGAAAAACACCCGTAATACGTGTATACGGAAAAAATCCGTTAAAATATACAGTCATTTAACTGTTATTTTACAGATTTTTTTTACGGTGTATATAGTAAATAAACTAAATATATCAGTACATCTATATATTATTGCTTTTTACATTCAACAACATCAAATATTTTAAAATAAAATTTAAATTATTTTTTAAATGCACATACAGGTATACAATAATCAATCAGTGTGATTAATTTATTTTAATTAATAAATACTATTTCACATTGAATTAAAATATAAAACACATTATTGCTGCTAATAATATATAAATCTGAATACATATTAATAAAAAAGAACATATTCACATTTACGTATAACAAAGTTTGATTGTTCAATTGACTGTTAAACTCTCTTATATAGACTGTTTAAGCTATTAACATCTAAAGCAACAAAGTAAGGCTGATTATCGTGGCACACACCTAAAAAAATAAATAAAAAGCATATATTTTATGCTAAATGATCACGATTATGCTATAGGACGGCTGCGGATCCCGCCTCTCCTTTTGTATCTGCAGCACAAGCTTCTATTAAACTGAGGCGTTGTGTCGGTGAGACCCGCGAGTGCTCATCCCATTGCAAATTACATATTATTATCATGAAAAAAAAACGCCTTATATCATACCTCTGAATCTTCGAGAGGACGTTTCTCCAGTCTCAGAAATGAATTATTGTAATAAACTCTCAAATCAGCGTCATTCTTCACCCGCCACGCGGTGCCCCAATTATCATAACCATTCTGCAAAACACACAGCGTGAAATGATAATAATAAACCATGTGGGCACGGATAATCACGTCTTTCTGTGATGTAAGAAACTCTCTGAACACTAAATTGCTTCTGAATTGGCTCAGAATACAGTGCGCGGAAAACAACAGACAGGTGAGTTAGCCTAGCGTGACTAACGGCGTGAAGAAATGCGCTGCTATCAAAGGATATAAGAGCACAAATTCAGTCACAAATCAGAGCCGAATGCGGGATCTGACAGAGAAAGACGTACTAGCATATTAGCTTTATTTAAGACTATCACCTTGTTCCTGTCTACAATCTTGATTCATTTATTTTCCTTCGGCTTAGTCACTTTGATCATCAGCGGAATGAACCAACAACTATACTCCAGCATATGTTTTACACAGCGAATGTTTTTTACTCAGTGGATGCCCTTCCAGCTGCAACCCAGTAATGAGCGTGTATGAGGAAACACCCATACACACTCGCTCGCACTCATACACTACAAACAATTTAGTCTATTCAGTTCACCTATGACACATGCCTTTGGACTGTGGGGGAAACTGGACCACCTGGAGAAAACACACATTAACACGGGGGGAACATGCAAACTCCACACAGAAATGGCAACGGGCCCAGGTGGGACTTGAACCAGCAACCTTCTTCTCGACAGTGCTAACCACTGAGCCATTGTGCCGCTCCTGTATACAATATTTGATGGGAGTATTTGTTTTAACTGAAGTCATTATATTTGCTGATGCAAGGTAAGAACTAGACTGCGATATGAACATAAGGGTGTGTTCTAAATCCTAGTGAGCTGTCTTGCTCACTACTCCCTAATGTAGGGCACATCCTACTTGAATCGGAACTACATTTGGAACAAAACTGATCACTTTTATTCCTTTTCCACATACACTGATGTACAAACGCATTAAAAAAAGATAAAAAAAACACATTAAAAATGCAAATAATTTGATGTCAATTAACTTGATGTGAAAACTACCTCAAATTGACATCAAATATTAGCATCAAAAAACTAAAGATCACCTATTTTACCCCTTATTCCAGATTTAAGATGAGTCTTTTGTGTCTCCAGAATGTGTCTGTAAAGTTTCAGCTCAAAACACCCATCAGATTATTTATTAGACCTTTTTGAACATTGGGATTTTCTAATCTGAACACATTGTAGCTGATTTTGAGGCCTGTGCTTTTAATGCTGGTTCTCCCCGCCCACAATTGCCACGTGCCTGTCGAAGTGTGCCTCAATCTCCACCTCGGCTGCGCCAGATAAACAGCACAGTGACAGAAATGAAGAAGCAGATCTCGCGTAAACACTACAGTAAGAACTTTCCCAATGATTATTTGATGTATTTGTTGTGGAGTTGCAACACTGAGTTACACACAATGTCATTTCAAAATGCACGCATGCTCACACACAGACAGTGACAGGATACACATTGATATTGACTGCTGTATGGATATGCGTTATATTGATGATCAAAATAAACCTGATTTAACGTCCACAAACCGAGATTGAAGCGTCTTCTTTTATAATTTTACTGACATGCGGCTATAGTGATGAATTATAGCAATTTTACTGTCTTTATTACGAACATCCACTGTTTTAAAAATGTTTTACACGTGTGAAACTCATTCTTGATCACATTTAATGATGATTGATGATCACAGAGAGCTCAACAGATCTTTTAATCCTCGTTGCTTTGCGCGAGTCCTGTCTTGTTGATATGATCTTGCTCGGGGCGGCACGGGGAGACAGTGCAAAATAAATAAATAAATAAATAAAAAACGAGCCCCAGTAAAAGCTTTGAGATATGATTTACTTCATACAAGTGTATTAATTTAGAGTGGTAATCCCAGTAAAAAAGACATTAGGGGCCATTCACATTTATCATCTTTTGCACGCGCAAGTTTATTATTCTCTATGTGCAACTAAAACAACACTGGTAAAAGCAAACTGATGCATCACTTCTCCACTGCTCTGCTCCCGGTGTTAATCCCGGTTGTTTATATGCACGCCAATAAAATTTGGGCCACGTATGCCCTGTGAAACTAGAGTAACTTTTATGCAGAGGTGTAGGTAAGCAGTGAGTTTTGCGAGTCGACAAAACTAAAGTTATAATATGATAATGATCTTTTTTTGACTAAGCATGGCTATTTAGATTTTTTAGATTAGATTCAACTTTATTGTCATTACACATGTTCGAGTACAAAGGAAACGGAATGCAGTTTAGGTGTAACCAGCAGTGCAATAGCAGCAAGTGCAGGATAGAGGTATAAGTGCAGTTATAGAAAAACTATGGAGATATTTACAGATGGATGTACTGTGAACATTATATACAGATTGTATTAGCTATGAACAGAGATTTACAATAGATGAATATATGTACAATAGATGAATATATGTACATGTTGCTATTAATGATCTGTAGTGTGCAGATAAATAAACATGATTACACATGTATATGTACAGT